TGAAATTACTCCGCTTGTAAAAGTAATTGCTGTATGGGAAGAAGTTTTATTTTCACTTCTACTTGGAATGATGATTCATTGAAGACATCAAAAAAGAGAGAAATATAGAAAAAATATTCCTTTCATTTTCTCGCATGCAGACTTCTGTAAGCACTAAATGGTAGAGCTCTATTAGGAGACATTCGATATATCTATCGTTATCTATCTTCTTTATCTATATGTGTCATATATACACTAGGAGAGCAATGTTTCTCTTTTTGCTGCGTAAGCGTGTATACACATGTTTTGTTCCTTTCGTCTGATGTCTGTTCTCTTCCGAATGTATCATCTAATGTCGTATATAAAGACAAATACGCTAGAGTTCTATTTATACACTACTCTTTTCTCATTGTATATATATATTAGAATTCTAGCGTGTAAGTCTTCTTTTTCTTTTTCTGTATGTCACATATCCATATCCGAATGTAACATTAGGAGACATTCGATATATCTATCCTTATCTATCATTGTTTGTCCTTATCTATCCTTTTCTGTCCTTATCTATCCTTATCTATATGTGTCATATATACACGAGGCGAGCAATGTTTCTCTTTTTGCTGTGTAAGCGTATATACACATGTTTTGTTTCTTTCTTCTGATGTCTGTTCTTTTCCGAATGTATCCTAATGTCGTATATGCGAGATAAAGATAAAGACAAACACGCTAGAGTTCTATTAGAGTTTTCTCTTTTAGCGTATCTTGATCTTTTCTTGATGTCTCGCATATGTCAGACATAAGGACACATACAGAAAGGAAAGCATATCTTCTCCTTCATCTTCTGCTTCTTTATGCTTTCCTCTCTGTACGTGTCCTTATGTCTGACATATGCGAGACATGAAGAAAAGATCAAGATATGCTAAAAGAGAAAACTCGATTGTATATCATATATATTCTCAAAAGACTTTTATGTTGAATGTTTTTTAAAATGAATCATACTACATATGATCTAGAGGAGAGAGAAAGCGGCAATATTTTCCTAGTCTACACATGTTTTATTGTCTTTTTCTGTATCAGAAGTTACTTTTTGTACATCAGTTGACTGATGATGTCTTTAGAATGAAGACGAAACGTCTCATTTTGAGTAGTTATTTCAACGTGAAAAACAGATGATTTTATTCTTGATTTCTATTATAAATTGGAAATATTACAGCTACAAGCTAGGATCATTTAAATCGTTTCTGATTTCGACATTTTACTTAAATATACCAGATTTATATCCTAGTCGACTCTTCTGTATATATAGTATAATATAATATTGCTCCGAGTCCTCGGGACAGTTTAACTTTTATGTAACTTTCAACCTCGCCGAAGGAGAATTTTGGGAGACAACGTAAATCAGTCATTTTTTCCACACAACTTATATTTTTTTTATAAGAATGAAATGAAACTACAGTAGTCCGTTAGTGCACAGAAAGAGAACTAGCGAGTGAGTGCAGGTGCCGTCTGTTCTTCTCTCTTTTTGCCTTTTTCTCTGTCTCTCTGTCCCCCTCTCTCTCTAGCCATGGTGTCTGTCTAGACATATGTCTATAGTTATCTATTGATGGTCGTTACAAAGTGCTATGAAAAATGCATAATCTCGAGGACTCCCTAGGGAGTCTCTGCCAACTCCCCATTCGTCGTTTGTTTTGCAGATAGACAATTTATAAATAGTTCTATGATAAAATTTTAAGAATTTTTTTCTATTAAATCAACGTTAATGTGTCAATCTTTGATGGCTGATATGTGCTACAATGGTACCAGTGATGGTACCTGGTACTTAATTACTAATTAGTTATAGGAAATTAAAAATGCTGAGCCAACAGACATACAAGGATTTTTAGGGGAGTTCTGGGGACTTTCTTGGGGAGTCTCGATTAGAGTGGACAAACAAGTTTTTTAGACGCTTTAGAAAACTTATTGTTCTCGTCGAGAACCGTTTAATATTAGCAAAAACAGTATAGATTCTAAGAGTAGACATATTGGACTATCTACCCATGTATTTAGCTCAGTATTAACTGTTTCTGAAAAAATATATATTTCCGACAGAAGTGTGGACTGTAAGAAATAGTCGAGTAATAGAATTATTTAAAAAGAACATCGGACACACAATTAAATATTTTACATATAAGTATGACGGGTTTTCAAAAGATTCCGGCGATTAGCCCGTAAAGATAACGGTTACCTTATCACTAAAACATTTAGAAATAAAATATAACAGCATAAAAATGTCCGAAAACCATAACGAAAAAAAGGCAGTAAAGATCTTCGTATGTCATATTGACGTTTATACCCTTACAATGACCTAATGCAATGTTTCTGAAAAAACTAAATATTTGTCATGCGATAATAAGTGTAAAATACGAGACCTAAGAAACTAAAACTGACAATCTGCCTTGATATATATTTTAATATTGTCTCTATAGACCATATGCATAATCTGACAATTCATTCTACATGCTGATATTTTTGAAAATTCTAAACAAAATAAATGCTTAGACCCTGGATACCAGAACATAATTGTACAACTTTAATTGAAATAAATATTATAGTTACACACTACAAATTGACAAAATTTCGAAAATCAATATGATTTTAAGCATTCTGTAATTTCAAGACTGTATATGAATCTTCATACACGATTCGAATCAACAGCAACAACATTGTTCATGTAGACATTTTCTTGAAGAATATGTGACCAAGTATTTAGTTGGACTAAAAATTATTTTTGATGTGCAGTGGATCTGAAAAAGATGGTCCACCTTTACCTTTCATTTTAGTAGCTAGAGCAAATTTGAAAAAGAATTTGAACATCTGAAAGGATTTCTAATCTGATGTGATACATATAAAGTTGCTATCGAAATTCCATAAACCAGAATCTCTGAAAAAACAAAATCTCAGAAAACTAAGTCCAGAGTTTGATCGAGAAATTTTTCGCAAATAATCTTGTCACATAAAGCAAACATTCATGAGCAACATAAGATGTCTTCTAGCTCTCTGCGACATTCTTTCATAAAACAGCATTGAATTTACGGATGGGAAACAAGAAAGATACGCCCTTTCGTAAATTGAATGCTGTTTTATGAAAAAATGTTGCAGAGAGCTCGCAGACAACTCATTTTGTTGAGAAATGTTTGTTCTATATGACAGAATTATTTAAGAAGTATATCGAACTCTGACGAGGGAACCCCTTGAAGTGATTAAACGCTTTTTGCTCAGAATCTAGTGGGTTATAGGTTATCGACCATGCTGATTACGAATACGACCATGGGGATTCTCCATAGCCGTTCGAAGGCCTGGTTTTCTAGAAAACCAGTTTTTCAGAAACTCTAAAATATAACCCGAACCTTTCTTAATGAGGCATGATTGTAGCCCGCACATTTCTGACTAAAATGAGACATCTCCCAGCTTTGTACGACCTTTCTTTGCACATATATAGAATTTACAAGAAAAGCCCTAAATGTTCATTGTCAGCTTTAATCATTTAGAGGGGTTCTCTCGTGAGACTTAGTTTTCCAGTGACCCTGATTTCTGGACTTTCGATGGAACCTTTACATACATCACATCAGATTGGACATTCTTTCAGCTGTTTAAATCTTTTTTCAAATTTGTTCTAGCTACTATGGGCGACGAGAAACATGAAAAATAAAGGTGGGTCAATAGTTTTTGAACCTACTGTATATTCGTTATCAAAAGATATTTTACCAATTGGTGAAAAAGCGGTAGAAAGCCCTAAAAAGAAAAGCTTTTGTAATCTATAAGAGTACACTCTTGGCAATGCAGTCACAATGAAGCAGAAAAATGGTAAACAAAAATTAATTAAATAATTAATCGCTATCATTTCGGTTTTTCAATATCTTTTTAATTTTAGTTTATGATGATAATCATTCAGTGAATATTTAACAATTTATTCCCTCGACTAAGAGTCTAAAATGATATTAAAAAAATGTATATTACCGCATTTCTAGCATATTAGAAATTATATCTTAATATTCCAAAATGGTATATGAATTAAAAAACTGATATTTTCAAACAAAAGAGTGAAATTGAGTGAAACAGATATGATGAAACTTAGAAAATAATAATTAAGTATATCATTCGAAAAGGTTTTATGTGAAGTAACAAGAAGAGGATCACATAATTAATCAGATCGTTTAATTACTCACTGTCTTATAGGACGTGTAGTTATGGGGAGAAATTCTCTATTTCAAGTCTGTATAACTAAATATAAGTCGAAATACCATAACCGATATTGGTATAAAATGCATTGCTAACGGGTTATGTAATAATCAAGCTTTAACCTATTTAAATGTAAATGATAATCGTATAGCAGGACANCAGGACAAGGATTATCTCTATTATTACAAACATTAACAATTCTTCATATGAATTACAACGATATCACTGATCAAAGTATAAATTATACAGAAACGATTAACATTGTTAAAGAATTAGGAATTAGAAGCTGGACGGAGTATATGTAACAGAAATAGCTAAGAATAACGATCATTGAATACAAGAATTTGTGTAAAACTTTGATACAGGAAGAGATTAAATTGTGTCTCTGAAAAAGAAATAATATGAGGTGACAATTCAAGAAACTGTGTCGATCTCGTTTCTTCAGCAGACAATGTCAATTAACTAAAACAAACTAGTTAGATATAATTCGAAGCTGTTGAAAAATAACAGTTTGGGATAATGAAAAAACAGACTACTGAAAGAACAGACAAAAAGTACTTTAGCCTTGCTTTTTTCTTATTTTTATATCATTTTGTTGACAGATGAAATTATTTCGTGTCTATAAGTTAGTACAAGGATTCGAATGTATTCAGTCTTCTTAATAAGAAAAATAAGTATTTTCAACTAAATCTAGAGTTGTTGTTAACCTTCCATAGTCTATTTACAATTCTTTTATTTAAATAATGTTCAAAATAATTTTTCTTATTTTTACTTTATTTGACATCGTCTCCTGTCAACAACAGTTAATGCCAATTCCGAGTCGTTCTCAGGGATTTTCTGTAGGTCCACAGGATGCATCAATTACAATTGACATTTTCTTAGATTTAACATGTGGTGATTGTCGTTCAATATTTCCAACGATGTTAGATTTAATTAATGAATATAATGAAAAAATTCAAATCAAGTTTCATACATTTCCATTACCTTATCATACATACTCATTTATTGTTAATCAAGCTGTACATGTTATTTCACATTTAACACATGGAAATATTAAATCAATCCTTTGTTACATGAAACAAATTTTTGATCAACAAACACAATTTTATGATTATTCAACCCTAAATATGTCCCGTTTACAAATAATGAAACTTGTCTCATCTTTTATTCCTTCAACCATAGATAAACAAAAATTTTTGAATGGTCTAGGTGATGCAACAATAAATAGAGAAGGAACAATAGCATTTAAATACGGTTGTTCCAGAGGTATGATATAATAAACTATAATACTATTTTTATAAAAACACACTGAATTCTAGGTGTTGTTGGTACTCCAACATTTATGATTAATGGTGTTATTGTACAAGGTGAGACAGAAAAATGGACATTAAATAATTTTAAATTAATTTTGGATCCACTATTAAACAATAATAGATATCCAAGTTGTAAAACACCGAAAAATTTAGTCTGTTGTTTCGCCAATAATATTAGACAATGTCCAAGATTGGGATGTCACTGTTTTTATTTGAATACAAAAAACTTATGTGAAATATAATTCCAGAATTAGTTAATCGACACTAATGCTTTTTAACATAGATCTAGAGATAATTCGATTTTGTGTTAGTATTTAGTATTCATTAGTAGAGAAATAGTTCATTCTTACGACGAACAGGTACTTAATTGCTTCTGCTACTATCTGAGGACTCTTTCTTTGAGTGACTTTTGAACGAAAAGTGATAGAGACCAGGGGCTTTTAACATCTTGTAGTAAAAACTTGTTTCTAAGGGTCATTGAATGAAAAACACGATTAGTTGCTGAAGAACCATGCTCAGCGATCATCTCAGATTTTCTAACAAGAAAAAGGCGTAAATAGCGAGATCACTCTTTTTGCAATGTGCAGAGCACAGCAAAAAAAAGCTGTGATCACGCAAATTCAGGCGCACTTCTGAATTTTTTGTGTATAAAAATCTGAAATTGTGCAACAAAACATGAAAAAAATTCCAGATGACAACTAATCTACGCATGGAAATATTTAACGTGCTTGAATTTGTGTGATCACCGATACTGTTTCTGCAAGAGAGCTGAAACTTTTTGAATAATCAGCATATCGTCTGCGCCATATGTTACGCAACGTTAGAAGGTTCTAGACAGGTTCACAAATGTATTGAAGTTGATAATTAATCGGTCTCTAGCCAAAAGAAAGTACGAAGATAGAAGAAAAGAGAGAAGCGTTCTCCAGCGTGTCATTCAGACATAGCGTGCCTGCGTCTACCTTACACATTAGAGAACGCAGAGAACGCTTCCCTTTTCTGTTTCTATCTTGATTTAAGCTAGTTTATTTAAAGTAACGAGCCTGTGATTTGTGACACTGGAAGCGGGATGTAATTCTTCTTTCTGTCTTTGCCCTTGAGATTTAATCAACATAAGAAACAGATACGTTTGTACAGAAACACAAGGCGGAATGCTGAAACTGTTTAGTAGTGTGTCAAGATGATGACCTTCTAAAGCGGATCGATTAGAGTGTATGGGAGAAGTATGTAGATTAATAGACTTGTTGGCATTAAAGATATCCTCTATGTCTGAAAGAATTTTAGAAAAACACGTAGTTTCGTAGCCCACAGTCTCCTCTTTCCATTACTATAACTTTTTGCCTTTGAGGAAGTATTTTTGTGGTTCTTCGGAAGTTTCCAGGAAGCCGTAAAGGAACAAGTTGGTTTTTAAACTTTTGTTGCAATGTTTTCGAAATCCATTTCTCAAGACATTATCCCGTTTCACGGACTTACCCCATCGAAACTTTATCTGGGCAACTTCGAATTTTTACTATAGATGTTAGACACTTTTCCACCCGGATGTTTTTCGATTTACCTTTTTCCGATGCTTTCTTTATTGTGGGCGCGGGAGTTCTTTGTAATAGGTCGGAGAGCATTGTACCAAGGCTTGAAGTCATCAGTATTTTCTTTCTCAGCCGAAGAAGAAGCATTGTCAAAGAATAAATAAAAAAAAGTCGAGTGTACAAGTGTCAAGCACATGTCGTAAAAATTTGTTGTTGATTGAATAAAGTTTCGATGGGGTTAATCCATGTGCAAAATCTGGTTTTCTACAAAGCCTTGTGAAAAATGGCTTTGAAATCGGAGTAAAAGATATGACTGTTTCTTTCTGAAAACAAGCTCTAGCCTCTCTCCTATTTATCATTACGGTTCTGGAACAAAGTGAGAAATAACGGGAGGCTGCTGCTTCTCTTAAAGGAATAGAAAGGCGTACATTTGTGTCAATCAAGTGGAATAACAATCTAAATGTTTCCTGAGAAATATCATACTGTTAAGTTTTGTTATGCTCGGTCATCATCTGAGGTCATGACATCCCTGAAAATGCAAAGTATGAGTTGAAACTACTAGTAAGAGTGAATTTAGCATACTGTATTCAAAGGGGTTTGTATGCTTATTATCGACACATTAACTAATTTTACACTGTTATCATTCGGTATAAATTAACTGCACATGCGTATTGCTGCAGGTACTTCGCAAACAGCAGAAAAAGAACATTTCAAAACACAGATTCTAATGTCAGAAGGGAAAAAACTTGAAATATCTTATCTAAAGCATAATTAATGATGACACGTTGTTACATCAAGATCGGGACATTGCTTTAAGCTAGTACTTTGTTTTGATCATCTGACATTATTATCGAATGTCTGTTTCATTTCTCTAGATGTAAAATGTTTACTTTCCTTATCTTTTATTCAAATCCTTCGTATTTTGGCTAGAAATTGATACTCCCTATATCATGAAATATACGTGCAATGAAATACCACTCTTTCGCTTTTTGCACATCTTCATATTTCTGAAAATGAATCAGTCACATCGAGATGTGAAATTTTTAAATAACGAAATAGTATGATGAGCTACAATTAATTACAAATATATATATGAATCGCTCTGACATTATCATTTGGTATTTTCTTGCAGTCGAAGGCCACTACGGTGAAAAACAAAACGACGAGGATGGATTACGCGAACAGTCATCTGTTTTTTTGTATATAACTCTATGTCTTGTGAAAAACAACAGAATGGCATCGAAGTATTTATTTTTTAGCTTCTAGAAGTAACTGCATTCAATATCTAGCTAACCTCGACATTTAATTATCCACATAAATGTCGTACTTTAGTTAAAGCATCGATCATGTTGTGCAATGACTACAGTAGTACATTTAGTAATTGTTAAGAACGACAAAAAAATGACGATGATTGTCTCTTATCATAATTCTTGACATACAATAAAAAAATGAGAATTGTGTGCTAATGACACACCATGTACATGATGAAGGAAAGTAAAAGAGACAAATAGAATAAAACGGTATATTATTGATAAGGTTTTTATAGTCCAAAATATTTTTGCTCTTTTGTATTACATATGACAGACGAAAAGATATAGTTCCCAGGCAAACACTTCGGGTTGAAGTAGCCGCTCCTTATGAAGTGTAGTCTTGTTCTGTGATACAAATGTGACTATCTTCTTTTATCTATATTATCGTACCCTCTCAGTCCTCTTATCTCTAGTGAGTCCTTGGCATTCATCACTGACGATCAATTTTCTACTAAAATGTAAGGCGCCGCTTATTTCAAAAATCAACTGAAAAAGCTTTTGAATTTTCAAACACATATTCTGATCCGACGGACGCTGCTGATCACGAATCGGACCTTATTTTTTCGATTTGATCGAGAAAATGAATGACAATGATTTTCTTAGCTGTTTTTCTGTACGTAAAAACTAACTTATCTCAGGCTCTTGCTACTAGAAAGTCATGCTTAATCTCTCTCGCATTTTGCAATTCTCTTCTGGGTCCCGGTTATACCATGCTTCACTCGGACTTTTTTTCGAGAACATGATATAATCAAGGTTTGACATAGAAAATACTCCATTTCTTGCGCCAGATATCAACTTCTTGGCTGGAAGGACACTGAAAAGCACAAGTTTCAGGATTAGTAAAGCTCTGAAGTTTTTCTTCAGGTAAATGCTGATTTGGCCATGTTTACCCAGCTTTCTCTTCGGGAACATGACGTACTATCCTCGCGGAAAAAAATAGTTGCACTCAGTATTTTAGATATATCGTCGTAATGAAACGACATTTTTGAGAAAATAATGTCATATTCTGAAAGCCCGTGCAGTTTTCTATAATTGTGTATATTTATCTTTTAGTTTACCTACATATCAGTAAGACAAATCGAATACAATGAGAGCACCGTCGTCATCGGATTCTCATAGACTTAATTTTGTCACTGCCATTAAAATTAGTTTTTTAAATTTTTCATCACTATAGAAGAACCTTTCTCAGAAAGCAATTATAAATTCTGGTGGAGCTTGAAATTCTCTGTCACCATATGTATTTACATTTTTTTGTTGCATTTATAGATTGAAAAATAATTTGAGTACAGTGAACGTACCCTGAATTGACAAGTACCAAAAATCTGCATTTTTCGTTACCTTTGGAATTTTTGTTTTCAATTTATTATTCTATGGGAAAAATTATTTTTAAAAAGCAATTATATATTCTAATAGGGCTTGAAATTTTCTACCATCCTGTCAACTATCTTACATTTATGCGCTGGAGAAAAATTCGATTACTCAGGTACCCTGCTTGACAAGCTCTAAAAACAAGTAGATCTATTTACGATCTCTTTGGTTTTTGTTTCAAGAGTTCACGATGGTTGAGTATGTGAAACAGTATCCGAGAATATAATTACTTGTTCAGAAAGTTATTTCTATGCTTGAAATAAAGCAGTTGAAATAAAGCGGAAAGTGTTACTACATAAATCCAATTTTTTACGTTTCATGACGAGGGTAGCGGCGTAATACTGGCATTATTCTTCAGCACTTTTAGCACATAAATGCAGGGCAAGAAGAAAATATGTAAGATGACAGAGAATTTCAAGCTCTATCAGAATCTATAATTACTTTTTTCAAAAGTTTATTTTTATAGTAACTGTATTTTGGAAAAACGAGAAAACTAACGATTTTTGGTACTTGTCAATTCAGGGTACGTTCACTGTACCAAATTATTTTTCAATCTATAAATGCAACAAAAAAATGTAAATACATAGGGTGACAGAGAATTTCAAGCTCCACCAGAATTTATAATTGCTTTCTGAGAAAGGTTCTTCTATAGTGATGAAAAATTTAAAAAACTAATTTTAATGGCAGTGACAAAGTCAAGTCTATGGGAATCTGATGACGAGGGTATTCTCATTGTATTCGATTTATCTTACTGATATGTAGGTGTAAACTAAAAGATAAATATACAGAATTATAGAAAACTGCACGGACTTTCAGAATATGATATTATTTTCTCAAAAATGTCGTTTCATTACGACGATATATCTAAAATACTGAGTGTAACTATTTTTTTCCGCGAGGATATATACCTCAGGCTCACTTAGGCATGAACTTAAAATAAACGCACAGCAATTTTATTTCTGACACTTTCTCAATTGCTGTGTGCTACTATGAAGTTATTATTCAAGTTTTCATATCATTTTTATATAAGTATAATACTTACATGTTCACTGAAAAAGAAAAATACATTTTTCTCTTCTCATATCATATGACGTTTGTAAAACGTGAGTTCTAAAATTTTCTTTAACAGCTTTTGGGGTAGACATAATGGACAATGTAAATTATCTGAAAAATAACATATAGTCTAATAATAAATGTTCGTTTTTCGTTTGATGATGTATAGTTTTCATTTGTTGAACTGTCTTAATGTGAGATCAATAAATTATGTACCATATCAGTTTTGTATAGTGTGAGCTAATCTACAAATACAGTAGAATATGAGGCGTCCACACAGCTTTATAACAATAAGAAAATTGATATCAAGGTGCCGCTAATTCAAAAATCAAATGGAAAAGCTTCTGAATTTTCAAACACATATCCTTATCCATCAGACGCTGCTGATCACGAATCTGACCTTATGTTTTCGATTTGATCGAGTTTTCATGCAGAAAACCTCAAAATACTGTGACGACGTCAAAAACGGCGAAAAACCGATTTTTCAGAAAAGTCTGATTATCTCCTGATCCTTTCATTTTTCGATCTCACCAATACTATTTTCGGATTCAGCATCGCGAAGCACATCTAGGCACTTGTCATTCGATGACTTTTCTTCAAGACTTAAACTCTTGTAGCTGATCAAACACTGATCGGTCGAACCTTGAGGTTCTCACCACGCAATGCTATCTAATTTTTTGCCATGTGAGCTAGAGAGTTCTTTCATACGCCAGAAGATTCGCTCTGCCTTGCTCCACAAAAGTATGCTTCGGTTTTTTTGAAAACGTTTTTCCTTTCAGGAGAAATTAGGAAAAGACTGAGAAAGTGCGAGTTTTTCGCAAAATCCTTCACCTAATGAGCCCATAACTCAGTGATATTTCCACTTAGAGCACTGCTATTGTGGTTTTCTAGGTAAAAAGCAATGCTGAATACGTTACAAATGCGTCTGAGAGGTTTGGACTTTTCCAAGTAGGTTTTGCAAAAAACCAGAACTCTGAGAAACCTTTAAGAGCCTTTCAGAAATCTTTTTCGTCCCAAACATATCGTATCGACAGAGCATCAAATTCTTCGTTTTTAAAAAAATCGAAGCATACTTTTGTGGAGCAAGGCAAATCTTCTGGCGTATGAAAGAACTCTCTAGCTCTCAAGTCAGCAAAAGAGGTTTTGGAAGAAAATTTAAAATTGAGATGTTAATTTCGTCGGATAGCGAAAAAGGTTGACAATTTGAAGAAAGCACTCTTTGAGTGTTGCGAAAATGACTATATATACAGTTTGAGAAATCAGCCATACTTTATATGACATATCTATATTTAAATTTATGAATTGACTACTAGGTAGTAATCCTGCACTTGTTATATGCTGTTAAGCACAATCTGACGATATTCAAACGGTTCTCTCAAGACTTTACCACAAGAGATTTAAAAAATAAAATATCATATTCGTACAAGACATTTGAAATAATCGTTGTAGAAGAATTATTTATTTGAAAAGGGTTTTGACAGAAACGCAGATACTCTCATAAGATCGATTTGCAACGTATTATATAAAAATATGGGGGAAACAAATGTGTTGTACCAAGCATAATAAAACTTATTGCTGCCACATTTTCGCTTGCGGATCCGTCTTGGAGTCCACAACAAATAAATCTGCTTTGTGTCTAAACGTTTGTCCATCTTCACTCATCAATGGCACTGGAGCATATTGAACATTATACGCCGAGCGAAGTGTATTACTTCGGTTCGGTGTTGAGCAGTGCAACGTGAGAGTGGAAAAGACAACAATGCTTCCAATGGGACACAATACTTCAACACCAGGATCTTTACCAAAATACCCAATTAAATCGGGACTTTTGTCATCTTTTCGATGTTGATAACAAGGAAATTCTTTAATGGCTAAAGGTCGTGGCTTCGCAGACCAATTCACTATGTGATCCTGATCTTCTGGTGGATTCCTCTCATTCGGTAACACGGAGATGGTACCATTTGATTCTGTCATTTCACTTAATGCACACCAACAGCTGAGATATGGTGTATGTTGGTATGGCACATACCCGCTATCTTGGTGCCATCCAAAAGCAGTTTTTGTACTAGTGCTGTCTTTCTGACCGCGTTTTACAACAATTTCCGAATGAGTATAATATGACGTATCGCCTAATACCGCTTGAAACAATAGCAATAATTCGTTAGTTTTTAATTTAAAACAAAGCGAATTCTATACCTCTTACAATTTGTTCCATATAAGTACTGAAAATAATTTTATGCATATCTGGCTCATTATCTTCATGCATGAAGAAGAAATATTTGCCCTCTTTCGAGCACAAAATTAATCCATCGTCTGTCACTGTTGTTTCATGACCATTCATATCGGCATCACGGCAAGCAATAGCTCGCTCAATAACTCCTTGCATGATAGCAACATGCTCTTGTGGAATTACAGAAGGAAGAATGAAGTATCTGCCAAGAAAACAGATTATGATTAGTGGCTCGAATGAAGTTACATGCACTTACCCGTGTTTATCGAAATCGTGCAAATGTTGTTCAGTTACTAATTGATTACTAAGATTCGGCATATTTGGTGCTTGTTATTACAACCGTATATTGAGTATAACTGGCATAAGTTACCGCTTATCTGAGTCAAGTATTTATTTTCTCTTTTTCTATCTTTGGTAAAGAGTTATCTCTCTCACCTTTGCGTGAAATATTAACTTGATGCCTCTAAACAATGAAAACAAACGTGTGAAAAAAGAGCAAGTTTGTCCTTTTAACATCATGTTATATATTACTAACGTACGGGATTAAATTGTAAATAAATTAGCTGTTCGGAGTAATTAATATCCTTCTACCAGAGGATTAAAATATTATGGTATATCTAACTTATTCATATCGTATCACTTATTCAGTGTATCTATTTCAATCGGTCATTTGAATTTGATTAATGCTAAACGAGCTCAAAAGAAACTCTTCTCACTGCTTGATAGAGAAGGACAATGCCATATTAGATGATCAAACTTTTCTCTACACATAAAAGAGAAAAAAGAGAACATAAGATGCTAGGAAACATGAGAAAGAGAACAACATCACAATCCTTTTTTGTAACAAGCGCAGAACCGTACTTAGAAGGTTTCTCTCTTTATGATGATTGTGTCGCTCTTCTATTCTCATTTTTTTATTCTTGTCCTTTTTCTACTCATCAAAGGTGGCAGGATTTTAGATTATAAGATGGCACTTTTTCTGCTTTCCTGTTCAACAATGCTTTGTTTGTTTTTCTGTTGGAAAAATAAATAAAAGTTCAAAAAGTTTAAGTTCAAAGTTGTGGAGACCGCCTTTACTAAGTGAAAACTGTTGAATGTCTTTATTTGTACTCTTGCGCGCCTCTTTCAATAATTTACCGAGTGCGATTACATTGTTTCTGTCAATTAATACAACTGAATGAAATATTACACTAAGTACAGTCACACAATATGAAAATCATTCCAATTCCTCGCAAATAAAAAGAGCAGATTTATTTGTTAACTTTTTGAATTTTTTCTATATTAGTCGATTCGGTTTAGGATACTACTCGGAGAATGACCGAATATAATTGTGGAAACTTTTTAAGAATATTCTGAAATTTTTTCTGTACACAGGAGAAAAGAGCATTCAATGCTCTTTTTGAATGTGCTCCCACGAAAGTTTCGTAGTTCAAATGAAAAGAAACGTCTTCCTTGACCACTCGTTGTTGTACTTCTGGCTGTGGTTGAAGCTGAATCATGTTGTTCGAAACGTAGTCCAATGACCGCTCCGATTTCGATTAATATCGTTTTCTTAGTCCGTTTTATTTTGGGTTGTATGTTTTCACCGCTTTGCGCGCACTGAAAATAATCGGCTTTGAGATTTGTACATTAGTTTCAATACCCATGTGGTGTCATTAATGTTCTGTTCTAATACTTACTTCATACGTAATATTTTCACGTTGAAATGTTCTTCCCAGTTCCTGCAAGCGTTTTTCTTCTGATTCGAAATAATCATTTATAAAGGGTAACCATTGCCCATTTCGTTTCTCGGTTATAAGTGCCAGTAGTCCACACCAGTGAGCGCTATTCGACACTCTTGCATAACCCACACAACCCATCAAACTCATTCATGTTTGCAAAACTGCCTGTGAGAAAAGAAACTTTCATATTGGTCTTCGCAATCTCTTGTTCTCTGTTTGTAGACCAATGGTATGAATTCACAACGTTTTGCTCGGCAAGCTAGAGACATGGAAATATTAGGAGATCAAAACGTATTCCAAAGTTTAGAATCATCAGAATTGAAAGAGAAACGTGTCAGATGCTGTTCCTTGGTTTTATTACGCACTGTATCCAAAAATGTATATGTAACACTTCTGACATTCGTTGTAGCAACAAAATGAATATTTAGCACTACCAAAAGATCGTGGAATGATAGATCAGATATCGTCCAAAAGCATATCCAGTACTTGCAAATTTGACCATCTTACGCCTGAAATATATTCAGGTCATTCTAAACATAACAAAGAAAAAGACAAGATAAGATGCAACGCACACCGCCTTTGTAACCTTGACCTTTGCCACCATTTTGCCCATGTTGCGATTAGTCATGTGATGCCTTCTGCAATATCCGTGTATGTGAAGAGACGAAAAGAAATTCTACAAAAAATCACTTATTAATTAGTAGAGAATCACCGTTACTTATCTGAAAGGACGCGATCTTCTGTCGGTATCAGAACAGTCGAGTCAGGATAGAGATGTCTGAGATGGATCTACTTAACTCTTGCTTGCGATGTCCATGTTCCTTAGATTTTGGATACAAATTTCAATAGCCGCTATTGCACGTACACCACGCCTTCGTTATTTAGAAGGGAAAAATTTAACGTTTTCCATCTCACATGAAAGATAAGTATTTCTGAGCCTATTGCCGTTTCGTGAAAAACTTACAATTTCCTATGAACACTGAAATTCGAAAATTTGTGCGAGCTGCGAATTCCCGATAATCTTTACTACAACGCTAAGTTCATGTGTTCGAATCTCAATTAATATAAAAGTAATTTTGCGTTTTTCGATAGTTTTAGTTTAGAATACTATCATGGAATATTTTTCCACTTGTACCCAAGCTAAATAACCCTATTGTAAGATCATACAAGATTCTACTTTAGGATCCTGTAGTCAGATCTTGTAGAATCTTGCAAGATCTTACAGGATCCCACCGTCGGGCATCATTAGTGCTGCGAAAAATAGAAGGCGTTTTCCTCTTCTTTTTTCATCCATATACTACATACGTTGCGTATAATGACGCCACTATTGGATCATATTACGAGAAAAAAAATGAAATTATTCATTTTGTTTTTTACTACTGTTCTTTCTTTCCCGTTATGTAAGACGTAACCTGCAAACTTATGATAAAGTATCAATTCTATAGGATATAAGAAACCATTCACTTAAGATATCAAATCAAAAAATTTGAATATATTGTTTTATATTTATTATTTTTTCTTTTTTACATTATTATGATGAAAATATTAATCATTCAAAATGCTGTATAGTTGTCGTTAGAAGGATTGTTTAGAAAAAAACCGGGAGCTCATGGTTCTGAACGACTTTGCAGTTTAACACGATATCAGATCGGTTTCTAAAAGACGTTAAAAGTTGTTTTCTGTCTATCATGTGCGATTTGTGCAAACCGTCTAAATATACCCCAAACAGAAATAATGAAAAAATAACTGTTCTTTTATTTTCATAACTTCTAATTAATTAATCGAGGATATGTCTGCAGGACTAGCAATTTACAAGGGCTCAATACAGCTCAAAAGTCTCTGCAAGGTGGTATAATTTTTTAATAGAAATGGGGTAATTCTGGATATTTGATTGGAGCTCTGTGGAAATTGGTGAGTACTAATTAATCCTCTTGAACTTTAACAAGATTTCTACATCAGTAGATAGAGAAATGTGCGTTCTCTCCACCTGTGAAATGCCGTCTTTTTCGGGGTAAAAATGCTTAAGGTACACTAAAAATACTGTGAAAAAAAAGAAACGGAATTTTTATTATGCAGCATACAAAACTCAACGAGAAAATGCAATTCTGGAGTTTTTCGCATGTATCACACTTTGAAAAACTTTCGATCCAGAGCAGAATCTACAGTGTGGGTTCAGTACAATTTATAAGCCTATTCATTTTTTTTTGTATGCGGCATAAAGAAAAAACTATATAGGCTTATAAATTGTTAACTTAACCCACACTGTAGATTCTGCTCTGGATCGAAAGTCTTTCAAAGTGTAATATATACGAAAAACTTCAGAATTGCATTTTCTCGTTGAGTTTTATATGCTGAATAAGAAAAACTCTGTTTGAAAACTACAGTATCTATCCCAAGTTCAAAATATTAACGGTTTTTCTAATTTTAAAAGTTTTTGTTCACAGGAAAAATTAAGCACATATACTATGACTCAGCTCGATGAGTCCTATCGAACTATGTATGTATTACTGAGAAAAAAATGGTGTGGAACTTGAATTGCGTACACCTTTAGTGTACTCTTCAAGGTTGTTCTCTCCTTTTTCGAATTCTAAAGGGTATATAGATAAATCCACAAAGTCTCGTACTTCCAGCAGATAAAGCCAACTTCCCGTAGAACCGTGAAAGTTCTTCTCGAAATATGTGTGCGTTCAATGACTCACCGTTTCGAAATGACATCATCTAGTGCAGACATTTGTTAGGCATCTTTTCTTGATCTGAATTTATTCACTCACAACTTTGTTTAGCATTTTGGGAGGAGGAAAAACCAAATACAGTTTGGTAAAATGGTAAAATGTCATTTTTCAAGAATCCATTCAAACACCTGAGTTCACGGGACTCGAAAAAATATAGTGAGACAAAAGCAGACAATAATGAACCAGAACAATATGACAATCTTAATACAAGTGGTGTGGCAAAAGAGTTAATTATCGGCGAGAATGGCTGTGGAAAATCAACATTTATCAATTATTTCATTTTTTCGAGGGGTCGTAGTGTGACTGGATTGACAGGACTATTGCAAAACATGCATAGCGAAAAAAACACATATTGTAAGGCGCTCCAAATTCAAAGATCAAGCACTATTTATTGCAGCTACGTCCCACGCATTTTTACTATGTTTTTGTCGTCTTTTTTCAAGTTATAAACAGGCATCTAAGCAACGAATTATTTGTAATACGATTGAATATTAAATGCTCTTTCAGAAGTATCTGTAAGCGTTTGATCACAATCTACTCGTACCTAATAACAATGGCGTGCTTGTACCGCTACAACAAAAACAGCCTTCTTGACAATGTTCTGGTTCTTCGTCCAACTGAACCGCTTTATCACATGCTATTTGAGGTCCAAGTAGAAAGAGAAATCCTTCTTCTACAAAATACTATAAAAATCAACTCGGTT